ACGACAAAGGGGTTCTTTTTAGCGGTAAACGCGCAAACTTGTGTCTTCTGAGGATTAAACTGGACTAGATTTAGTCGCCCCCAATCCGAGACTTTGTCCAGCAAAGACTCGACTTCAGACACAAGCTTGTTCCGGTACTCAGTGACGTTTTCCCGAGAAATATTGGCACGGCCGGTGTATAGAGCATCACCAGTGCTGTCATCCGCATAGCAATGAATGCTACCGGCTTGCAACATATCATTGATATGCAGAAGAAACAGCGTTGGTGATAGCACGCAGCCTTGTGGAACACCAGCGTTAATAGGCTTGTAGTCGGAGCATGCACCGTCTACAACGACCTTGATGCTCCGATCTGCAAGAAAGCTGGTGATCCAATTGCATAATTTCTCGGGAAGCCCACAGGAAGGGAGCTTCGAAAGAAGCGCTTTGTGCCAAACCCGATCGAAGGCCTTCGCAATGTCCAGACTAACGGCCAACGCCTCCCCCTTGGACTCTACTGCCTCCGCCCATCTATGGGTCAGGTAGACCAGAAGATCACCAGCTGATCGACCCCGACGAAAACCGTATTGGCGGTCACTAATCAGCTGGTGATCCTCAAGGTACCGGATGAGCTGGCAGTTAATAATGGATTCCATTATTTTGGAGAACAAGGAGGTGATCGCGATAGGCCTATAGTTGGACGGGTCTGAGCGGTCGCCTTTTTTAGGGATTGGGTGGACAAAAGCTGTCTTCCATGAACTCGGGACTACGCCTTGGGAGTAGGAGTACCGGAAAAGACGCGTTAGGACCGGTGCCAACTCCGGAGCACACGTCCTCAGCACAATTGGGGGGATTCCGTCAGGCCCACTCGACTTGTAGATGTCAAGGGAGAGGAGTGCTCTGCGAACCGAGCGCTGTGAGAACCGCACATCCGGCATGGAGCACTCACACCGCGGGATTGTCGGCGGTGTGTTCCCCCCGTCATCAACAGTCGAGTTGGACGCAAAAAGGGAGCCTAAAAGGTCGGCCTTCTCTTTTGCGTCGTGGGCCAGTGAGTCGTCCTCCCTGTGCAGAGATGGTAGTGATGGCTTACAGAAATTCCCTTGGACAGCCTTGGCGGGAGACCAGAATGCACGGGTTCCCGAAGGAAGGCGAACTAGTTTCTCGCCAATTCTGCCTATGTGCTCTGACTTTGCCTTGGCAATAACTCTTTTGAAGGACCTGGAGGCGAAGTTATACTTCTTTTTGAGTGTGCTGGTGTTTACATCCCGAGTCACTGAAGCCGCAGCCCAGGCTTGATAACACTCCTGCTTACTGCGTAATGCAGTCTTACAGGAGCGACCAAACCAAGGCTGAGATCTGCCTCCGATGGGTACCACAGATGATGGAATAAATAGTTCCATTCCCTGTAGCACCACATCAGTGACAGAGTCAGCAACAGCGCTGGGATCATCCGGCGAGAAGCAAACCCGCCCCCATGGGTAGGAAGCAAAGAAAGACCGCATTCCGTCCCAATCCGCCGACCTGTAATGCCAAACACGGCGGCAACCTGCAGAACGCAACCGCGAGGGGAGCGTGAGTGGCACCACACTCCGGATCAGACAATGGTCCGAAGAGCCAAGAGGGGCATCGACGGAAACCTGATATCCGTCCGGATGAGAGGTCAGCAGAAGGTCCAACAGGGAAGGTGTATGATCCTCAACATCTGGAATCCGCGTAGGCGATGTAACCAGTTGTGTCAGACCATATGCCAAGGCAAAGTCATAAACAGATCTCCCCGCATGATCGGTTAAACGTGAACCGAGCCATTCGGCGTGGTGGGCGTTAAAATCGCCAAGGATCACGATCTCTGCGGATGGGACCTGTTGTAGCAAGGAATCTGTAGCCATTTGGACGTGGTCGATGAGTCGGTCTGTTTCGGCATTACCGCTATGGGACCTATAGAGGCACGCGTAGACGCGCGGATGGTCGTCGCTGTCTACGCGTAGCCAAAGGATGGACAGGTCCGATACGTAATTGTGTGAATAGTAAGACGTGAATGCGTTAACCATAGATAAATAATCATGTAGAAAGCTTCATATTTAATATTTATATATAAAAATATTAATATATAACTGGCGTACGCCGAGTAGTGTAGCGAGACGTTTCGTGTAACTTCGGGCTACTTTGCGAAGTCCTTTGATTCTGTCGCAAAAAACCGACAGCGACCGGAAGTCGTCCGAGGCGAAGCGAGGTTGCACGAAGTGAATCGAAGTACAGTGCCACTAACTTATCTGTTCAGTTGACAGAGTCGCTAGTGAAGTGCTTACTTGGCCATTTAAGAAATTTACCGATGAAATAGGTGACTACATATTCATTATATATAATGTAAAATAAAACCAATTTCGTGTTAATATATTAAAATTAGTGTTATTTTATATATTATTTATATTTTATTAAAATAATTATTGTGGTCGTGATCTCGGAGTTAAGGCGGCCGAACTCTAGGAATTCCTGTTTTTAATGATGTTTTCGTTAGCTACTGGTTCCAACAATTCATCTTCTGCGTCAGTGGAATCACTTTCCCTAACGCTTTGTAACTCTATAATAAAGGGTTCATCTAAATACGCATCTTTTTGTCTGTATTCATTTTCAATTTTTTTTTTACATGATTACAAATGTTTTTCCACTCTTCTGTGTAATTTTATGGAATGCATCTTCAATTAATGGGGGCATTTGAACATTAGCTTTTCCAACATTTTTGTATGCTACGTTCCGTTTCATAGAGCTCCATATCATTTAAATTGCGTTCAAGTCGTAATGATCAGGTGACAATCTAAGAATGTTATGGTCATGTCTTTCATCAAGTTGTCAATTTCATATCCAGGAGCACGTTTATTTCTCTTTATTAACTGATAAGGCTGAGGTTTTGTTATTTGTTCATTGAAATCCACGTTGTTTTCTAATATCCACTTATGCATATCAGCCTTACCCACAGTAAGGACACATATTTTCGCAAATGCTATGATATGTCGCATTATCCATCACAATGAGCCAAGGTTCATGCAGACTAGGTATTAATTTTTCATAAACCCGTTTTTTGAAGTTAGTGCTATTCATTTCATCATGGTAGTCCCCATCTTTTGATTAGTTTTAAATAAGAGAAGGATATTCTCCACAAAACCTTTTTTCTTCACTTGCATGGATTATGATCAAACTATTATTACCTTTCGAAATAGGTGCCAAATCACCATCGTCTTCAGGACCTTGCAAACATTTAACAGTTGAATGAGACGAGTGTATGTAAGTTTCATCTAAATAAATACGTATATTTTCACCACGCTCATTTTCTTTAAATTTTTGTAGGTACGTTGCCCTCCATACAACTTCGTGGTTACTTTCACACAACACTTTTCTATTTCATTTCGTTTTCTTATAACGAAATCCTGTTTTGTGAAGCAATTTTCGAAGACTTTCACATTCTGGTTTGAAATCAATATATTTCTTTAGATTACTCAGTAATTTCGATATGGTAGGAATTTCTTTTTTCACTGTATAAAATTCTTGATTTGTTTCTTCTCATAATACCAATGTCAAAATTATCAATTTCTTGTTTCCAGGTGTTTCTTTGCCTTTTTTGCCAGGGGTAGACATTTAGAACTGGATTCTTCAGCGTGTTTCACTTGATTGACGAGTTTGTGTACACATCGCTCAGAAACACCTGTAACAAAACGATAAATAATTATTATATAGGTGTAATCGATCCGCTCGCCCTGAATTATCCTACAATCTATGCAATTTTGTGGTACACTTTACTGAGAAACTATCACACTTTCAAGTTTGCGCTTTGACATAGTATTTTCGTTCATGTCTAGAAGTGTTATCAATCATAAAAATATAACTTTACCCACATTTAAAAAAAAATAGAAACCATACAATTTTCATTAATTACATTTTATTATATTACTATCGCCATCTGTAAGAAAACCTAAAAAATACTTTGTAGTAGTACCACGTTAGATACGTTAGATAGCAATAATTATGATGAAAAATTTTCGGATAACCTCTCAAGTTCCGACATTGTTTTGGGACAAAAAATTGTTAGTCAGATCTATGGTCTTGGCCAAGGTCAATAATATATTTTTTGCGATCCATTACAAAGTTGTACTTTTAGCTAGATAAATAAATATAAGCCCGTAAATATGCTATCACTAAAGCTACTTCATAGACCACAAACTACAAACCCTGGTATTTTAGATGAATGACAGTAAATTGAGATATTTTTTTTACTATGTTTCACGAGTACAACGGGGTGATTTTAATTTTTCATATTTGGCAATACTTTCAATGGTAAATTTCAAATGGTATAATAATTGGGGCTTGTAAACGTTTCTCTCGTTTCATAAAAGTTAAAACTTTTGGGATGATCTGCCGCGCATCGGTTTTAAGAGCTTTAGCCATTTTTTTTCACTTTTTAAAAACACTCTGAATAAAAAATTGCTGACAGCGAAATGTCATTTACAAAATTGCGGTCTTAGTTCTTAGTAATTTTGTACACCTGAACAGATAAGTTGGTGGCACTATACCTCTTTAGACTATTGTCCTCGCCCAAATTCAATCAACTTCGCGAGTACTGTAGAGGGGCCATTACATAGCTGCAACATGGTTTTATCACGTAAAAGACACAACTGCAAAATTGGCTTTATCCTGTTGTATTTCCTATAAATGTAATTTCTAAGTTAAAAATAAATAAATAGCAGAAGCGAACATCTACACATGACTACTTTCGTATACTCCGCCGCATAGATAAATATATATGTAGCAAGCCGGTGGCCCATGTTGCTCTATATTATATGCTTACTTATGTGAATATTAGTAAATCAAATTCAAAACGGAACACTCAATAATTATTTTTTTCTTTTTTTTATTACCTTAACCTACCTAATTATAAATGTTTTATTTCGGTATTAAATAAGTTGGTATGGCTTTACTGGCAGCCCTGATGATGTTGGTCTTTTTGACATTACGAGATTTAAGGACACGAGAACGTAGGCAAAGTTTAGCCTTCGTTCTCATATTTATTAGGTATTAAATTATATTCTCTCATACCAGATATTAGTTTACATTAAGTATAAATTGATCTGTATTACTGATTTCTGTAATATCGCTCGTGTACAATAAAATAATTAGTCCTATAAGATTATTATTGAGGTTATACGAAATTTCAGTGCCACATATTGAAATATTAATAACTAATATTTTATTTTATTTATTAAATAGAATTCCAGTTTAATTATTTCTCTTTAACTTCAACAGTTATGTCTCGTAATAAACAACATGAGGAGACTGATAAACTTACACGAATTGCAATCGTCAATGCCGATCGATGTAAGCCAAAACGATGCAGACAAGAATGCAAGAAAAGCTGCCCCGTAGTTCGTATGGGTAAGCTTTGTATTGAAGTAACGCCCAATGACAAGATAGCTACTATATCTGAAGAACTTTGCATCGGATGTGGTATCTGTGTTAAGGTATGCTCATAAACATTAATTTACATTTAAAAACTTTATTTTACGATAACCGTTAGCAGTTGGTTTGCGGTTTTCTTTTAATTATTAATATTAAACTTGTCTAAAGGTAAAGAAATAAGGGTATTAGCGGAAATGGGAAGGAGATTAGGTTCATTCATAAGGGATGCCCTTGTGAGCCTAGTAATTTTGGAGAAAATATATATTTTATACTTTTAATCTATATTTGTATTGACATTATGTGCAGTCTTAATGAAGAAAATTGCTGCATTACAAAAATACTAAGCGTAGTAGTAACAAAATTGTCTACAAGTCTTTGTTTCACTTTTTTTACAAGTCACAAACATAATGTTACAGTGAGATGGAACAATACAGCAGCTCCTGTTCTTAATAAAAATTATGTGCTAGTACTGTTAATACAAATTATTTACTTGACCCTATGGCTGAAAGATCTTGTAGAAACATGTGTTACCTAAAATTGTAGACTTCAATTTAAATTTTCTTCAAAACTAGAAGAAACCATATATTAAAATGTACCACCTACAAATGAATGATTTTCGAAACATTACATAAATAATATATACTAGGAGTGGAACATTGCATAGATAATCTATACTTGATGAGATGTCTGTGTCTAACAGTTTAATTTATATAAGCTGTTATTTCCTAACTTAACATTTGATTTATCCACAGAAATGCCCATTTGATGCTATTACAATTATTAATGTACCATCAAATCTGGAGAAACACACTACGCATCGTTATTCCAAGAACTCATTCAAGCTTCATCGTCTCCCAATACCCCGGCCAGGAGAAGTTTTAGGGTTAGTAGGTCAAAACGGGATTGGTAAATCTACTGCTCTAAAAATTCTTGCTGGCAAGCAGAAACCCAACTTGGGTAGATATTCCGTAAGTTTACTATTCTACTGTACACATTACATTAATTAAAATATGCATTATTAATAAATTTTAATTCCTTATTAAGCTACACAAAATAATTGAAATACATCATTGACTTACTAAACTAAACTTATGAAATATTTGTGTTATAAATCACTTTTTATTTGTAGATATTTCGTTTTGAATGCCTTATTATGCTTCTTACTGTAATGTAAAGAAATATAACATACTAGCTGGTACCCGGTTAAGATATATTACTTTCAAATAAATGTGTGTAAGTTAATTGTACTATGCCTATAACCTTTGTGCAAGTGCAAGTAATAAGCTGACAAAGTTTTGGTGTAATCTGATGAATGGTATGGCAGCACATAAAATATGAACAAACAACCATTAATTTTTATTAGATTAAAAAAAACATGTAGGTTATAAATTAAATTGTATTTTGTAACTTACTTTTTTTAGGATCCTCCAGATTGGCAAGAAATTTTGTCCCATTTTCGAGGTTCAGAGTTGCAGAACTATTTTACTAAGATTCTTGAAGATGATTTAAAGGCCCTCATCAAGCCTCAATATGTAGATCAGATCCCTAAGGCTGTCAAAGGAACAGTAGGACAATTGCTTGATAAGAAAGATGATAGAAAAAACCAACCTGAAATATGTGAAATGCTTGGTAAGACCAATAAAAATCTAATCATATTTTTAAACAAATAAAATAATGCTTACATCCTATTAAATAACTCCATAAAATAATGAATATTTTAAAAAGAACTGTATTCAATTTGCAAACTTTATCTGCCTTATTACTAAACATAATCTATTGATAATCTCAAGCTTAAAAAAATCTTTCGTTTTCACAAAAGTGCCAGATTTATGCTTAGCCATGGTACCATATTCTGTGCGATTATTGACATTAGCTGTCAAATTCTATGCTTTCCATTTTAGTTCACTTATTTTCTACAGTACTTCATTATTAAAACAGATCCTAGTTTAAACTTGAAACTAATTATAATTATTTCTTTCGTAATAAGAAAGTGTCTCTTTTAATACTGCAGATTGAAATTGAAAAATAGTGAAATCCACTTATCATATTTCAATTTACAATATTGTTTTTTGTACAATTTTATTCACAATCCTTTATAACCACAAATTTTTATAGAATAAAGGCAAGCATAAGACTTAACCTTTTATATTTTTGTACGGAATGTGTTGTAAAAAATATTTACCATACTTACCACTCTGGACAGGGGGTTGGTGAGATAAGGTCTGACACCTTCACACATGTGCTGCCACTCACCATTACTTGTATGTGGAATTTGGGTTCAACATTTAAGAATTTTCACAATCAGTTGATCACCTCAGTCAGGTGAGGCTGAAATTTGGGGAGAACGCTGACATTCCCCTTGACAATATTTTTTTATAATCTGCAGTAACTTTACATCCATTTTAACCACACCATGAAAATTTTAAGGTTAGTTTTGCCTAATGAATAATTTACTTTCAGATTTATCTCACATCCGTGATCGTGAAATTGCTGCATTGTCTGGTGGGGAGCTTCAACGTTTTGCTTGTGCTATGGTTTGCATCCAAAATGGAGACATTTTCATGTTTGATGAGCCCTCTTCATATTTAGATGTAAAACAACGTCTTAATGCTGCTCGCACTATACGTTCCCTGATACATCCTGATAAGTATGTTTTTTACAAATGAATAATAATTTTCAATATCTTAACTACTCCATTAGCTGTGATAGCTACCATGTCATTAGTAAAATTTATATTTACATAAGATATAAAATATATTGACAGTCATTATAATTTATACAGAAATATATTATATTATAATTATGTCATATTTGTTGCAGGTTCATAATAGTGGTTGAACATGACTTGTCTGTGCTAGATTATTTATCAGATTTTATATGCTGTTTGTATGGTGTGCCTGGTGCTTATGGTGTTGTGACTATGCCTTTCTCTGTAAGAGAAGGTATGTATATTAGTTTTTTAACTGAAATTGTTTACGGTCATTTATATATAAAATCTGAATATATACATATAATAAAAATATATATCTAAATATATTTTAGGTAACTAATTAAACTTTAATATGTTAAAAAATAATAACAACTTTAGATCTTCAGTTATTTTTTTTTTCTTTTCAAGTTATAATTTGTACTGAACTGAGAACTTACTTGTTGATGATAAGAATATTTATATACATAAAATCTCACTTCTGTCACTTATAGGGGTAGACAGAGAGTTAAGACTTCCATGATCCTGATACACTTCCCTTGCCTCCTTCAGTACTCTTAATTTGGCCCATCTTCAATATGTCACCAATTTCGTGGATAAATTTCCATCTAGGGTGTCCTGTACAGACTCTACCACTCACTTCTGCAGCATAAATTTGTCCTCTTTGATTCTTTCTTTATGTTATAGATGGAGTGATAACCTGGTAAGATATGCAGGACTGTGCTTTTGGTATTCCTTTGAGGGATCCCTTATTCAGCAGTGTACTTGTGTAGGGCTGTAATGAATGAATGAAGGACATGGCTTACCACAAAGCATTAGTTTCTTAATGCTAGGTCTATCTAATCACGATCTTGCAATCCACGCTTTTTTCATACAATTTCTCACTATAATAATTCACAGTCACTCCTAACATATTTCGTTATGCCTGCGTTTCTGTAGAATTAATTCTACTATCATGCTTTTTCTACCACACCCAAGTTTCACTACCATACATTAAGATCACACAGCATTGTGAAATACCATACACATCTTTTTTGTCACTTTCATTTTCCCTGCAGTGGAGTAAAGAACCCCATTTTTATTCTTGGTCGTAGGACCAATGGTTCACTCTTTGTTCTATGACCTTTTAATTTTTACTGTTCCTGCTAAACACATCCTAACTAACGCAAACACATCCAATTCCCCTTCTATTTATATTTCACATGTCGTTTTACTTTCTTCTCTTTCAAAAACCGTTACTATCATCTCATTTACGTCCAATTTCATTCCACTTTCTTTTAATTAAATGTTCTGTAAGTTACTGTTCGTCCGCCGACGAAGCAAATATGACTTAATCATTGGCATACAATATACAATTGACGGTTAATACATCCAACATTCTTCAAAATTCTAAGTTTTCAAACATTTGTCCATAAACAGATTGAATTACCATTGTAATACTATAGGACTCTGTGTCACTTGTGAAAAAATATTGACAAAGTACTTGCATTCCTAAGCCACCGACGTGCTTAGACCCTGCATGTCTCATCTTATAGACAATGCATGCCTGTACTATTATATTTTCGGGAGCACTTAAACATGCGTGCGCCTGCAACTTGGTTTATATGCAAATGAAGACAGTAGAACCATTACTGCTCTCTTAACTCATCCTGTAAGCTACATGTTCCTTTATTTCTACAATGAATATTCTATCCAAAATCAATTTGGTGATTCTTAATAAATAAATGAGGATCACAGGAATACATTGATTAAACATCGGGGGGCACGGCAGTGCCCCCGCTAAGTCGAGCGCGAAGCAAACACTGCCGTACCATCCTTTACTGGAACCGTTTCGCCGCATTTTCAGGCCTCTATTTGAGAACCTCCGGATAAGACCAGAACGCAGAAATTTTCGTCATCCAGTAAGCTATAATCACATACTTAAAATTTAAAATTTCAAGTCTATAGGTCATTTAGTTCCGAAGTTAAGCGAAAGCTAAGTTTCGCATTTATGACACTCACTCACTCATGATCATCAGAATAGAACTAGTACTTCCCATAAACTCAGAGAGCTGAAATTTGGTACAGAGTTAGGGTTTAATGGCCACATAAAGGGAAAACTATAAAAACTAGGATAATCGAAGATCTGGAGTACCTGGGGACCCTGATTGGGAAACACAAGAGCCCAACCAAACTATTAGAAGAGATCGACATACCGCCTTTACAAAAAATATTCAACTTGGTGGGCCGCTTCATTTGATGTCAAAAATCGAAGTTCTGAAGTATCCTCAGCAGATCTCAGATGTATTAGAGATATGGTAATGCTTCCTTCTACTATTGGTACATAAAAAAAAAATACGTGTACAGAGAACAATTCCCAATCTGTGTGGCGTATGCCCTAACAATTCATAAGAGCCAAGGTCTAAGTCTAAAAATGCCCTCATGGACATTGGCACCTCCATATTCTCTTGTGGCCAAGCCTACGTGGCGCTTTCACGAGTAACCAATCTTCATGGGGTGCACCTCATAAATGTTGACTTCAAGAGTATAAAAGCTCAAGCTTCAGCGATCACCGAATACAACCGGCTTAGGCGTAAATACCGCGCCGATCTTTCAGAAATTAAACCGTATAAACCGTCTAAAAGAATAAATAATGAACGCGAACGGGCAATACGAAAAACTGTTGCTACTGTACAAGAATCAGAACCGGAAAAAAAGAAAAGAAAGATTTGTAATAATAAAAAAAACTACTCCTAAAAAAATGTGTCAAATAAGAAAATCTAATAAAATAAATCATAATATGCCCACGTTTCTACAAAAAGCAGTGAAATCCCACCAAAAACATTCTGTAAAAAAACTAGCCAAGTCTCGATGGAGCTGCTTGTTTATCTCTAAAAAGTAATGAAATCTAGACAAAGTCGTGCCAAGTCTAAGGTTCCTTACTGCGATTTCTTTATTATTATAGTTATTGTTGTGTGACTTGGCCGTTGTAGGAAACACAACGGTACAAAACCAGGTGCTATATTGCATACACACCATTGCACCAATCTGTCGCCAGAACCACTACCCATTGACGATGGAAAATTGCCGTTGATTGAATAACCAGTCAATTGTAGGCTTGATAAAGCTGCGTATTTCAATAATACTTTTGTATAGGCGAGCCTGAAACAAACAGTATAAAAAATTATTTCCAGTACAGGCGGACTTCTAATCATTGATAGAAGTCCGTCTGTACGTCTATTTTATGTTAGATCGGTGGTCGATTTGACGCTCGAAAAAGAAGAGAGTAGAAGTCAGCATTGTGAATGCTGAATGCATGTGTTGCACAATCAACAACCGCCTAAAATGAGACACTAGCGTCCAATTACCAATACCACTATGGGCTATTATCTCGCTTAACAAACATAAGTAGTTATAACAGATATAACATTACGTGTAAACACAATTACGTGCAACATTACGTGTAAACGCAACTTTATCAAGCTTACAATTGACTGGTTATTCAATCAACGTTTTCCAAGAAGCACTTTTCCATCGTCAATGGGTAGCGGTTCTGGCGACAGATTGGTGCAATGGTGTCATGTAGCGCCTGGTTTTGTACCCTGTGTACCCTTCAACGGCCAAGTCACACAACATTAACTATAATATCAAAGAAATCGCAGTAAGGAACCTTAGACTTGGCACGACTTTGTCTAGATTTCATTACTTTTTAGAGATAAACAAGCAGCTCCATCGAGACTTGGCTAGTTTTTTTACAGAATGTTTTTGGTGGGATTTTATTTTAATAATTTACTTTAATTACTGAATGCATAAAATCATTTGTGTTAATTGCAGGTATAAATATTTTCCTTGATGGATTTGTACCCACTGAGAACATGAGATTTAGAACTGAATCATTGGTTTTTAAGGTTGCTGAATCTGCTACAGAAGAAGAGGTAAGGCTTATTTTATGAAGTTATAGCTATAAATAGTTTTGTTACACATATATATTTCAATTTCTTACCTATATATAAATAAAATCATGAAAAACTAAGAAAGTATTGGTAAGCAGGACTGTCTCAGTGTAATTAAATGCTTGTTGAATAGCTGTAAATTTAGAGAATGCTAAAATTTTAACAAGTATCACACTGACAGTATTGAGTTTAAATTAGTGGTGTTGTAGAGAACATTAACCAAGATAATTTTGGTATTTGAAAAAAATTGTAGATATGCTTGACCTAATCAGATCAGATATAAATATATCAGATACTTTCAAAATCCTTTGAAAAAATAATTTCATAAAATTCAGTCAAAGAAATTATGATAGCTATGATAAATTTTCGCAGCTTGTAGTTTGCATGATTTGTTAATTACCACTGACATTTTTCAGAGTCAGGGTATCCTGCTATAACATTTATATCATATATTATCATGTATTTAGTATTAATTTTTAACCATATTCTGTTCCTATGCTGTCCCTTACAAAGAGATGGGCAGTTGCATATCCTTGGCACATATTAAAACACTCCAGTTGCCAAACCATCTATTATGTAATGCATCTAAGACCACAAAGAAACGACTCCCAGTCTTGATCCCTGAGTTGAAGACAGAGATATTCAAACTGCGCTGTGATATTACAGAATTATCTAAACTCCTAAGACCTGTCTAAACTCCAAGTCCTGTAGGAGTTTAGATAATTCTTCCTGAGGGGGATACCGTCTCCGAGTGGACGACTATTTTATCAGCATCTACAATTTACGAAAAGTTTGTGGATGTCTCTAGTACCTTACATACCTCTACTACACATTGTTGATGGAAGACCTCAATGTGAAACTACACACATACAAAAAGACTGTGAACCGAAATGAGAGAAATTCGGTATTTGGCAATGGAAATTTAGAGGGCAAAACAAAGACTGGTTTGGTTTATTATGAAAGTGTAAAATATGATGGATTTCTTCTGGAATCCCCAGGCCCTACAAACTTGTTCTAGCCCTAATGTTGGACATAACTGTTCAATGATGTCAATGTGGGAAAAAATTGCACCCAATATAAAACACTTCATAGTCATACACACATTGTTACACAACACAACTTAATGTTATGTTAGCCGTTACCAAAAAAATTCATCTAGAATTACAAAATAGCTTTCATTGTCTGAAGAATACAATAAAGTTGTTTAAGATCCAAATCTCTAATCCCACTAATCTCATGGCTGCTAAATAATTATTTGCTAGATAATGGATTTGCAGTTTTCAAATATTAATAGAGACAAGCAGCTAAATAGATATGCTAATGGAAAGGACTGAGTGGAATCAAGGCTACAAATTCACTCACAGTAATACAATGCAAAGATACGCAAAAAGAACAATGGCAGACTTTCATACATAAAATTAGTTGAGAAGAAATGTTAGCGTCTATATATCAAAGAAATCTTAAAATGTTAAGCGTCAGTCCCTGAATAACTATGTCAAAGAATTATGTCCTCAGAAGGCATCAAAAAAAAATATTTATATTTGAACCATTTTAGGTTATGACTTATGTCACTTGGAAAAAGTCATGCGTCCTGTGGTTGTTTGATGTTAGCTTAATGCGGGTCACTCACATGCGCGCAAACATTGGTACATTGACGAATGTTTGCATGCATGTGAAGGCCGTCAGACATTCATTCGTAAATTTAGCGGATATGCATTATGCAAATGGTTCGCCGTTCGCATACTCAATTTGCTAACCCGTTTTCACTCCCTCCTACACTTGTTTACGAATGTCTCATCTTGCTTGCGATTTTGTGAATCATGGACAATTAAGATGATTTTACTAGTGCGGTTGGACTGTTTTACCTATGTTGGATTTTTTTTGAGTATCCCATATGGTCGGTTCATTCTGCAGGAGTTCAATGAACTCCATCACCTTGGTGTTGTTCTAATCCATGATGAAGTTATTAGAAGTACGCTACACAGTAGACGTCACGAACTATGAAAATGGCGAAACGTCCGTTACCTTCGCAATCGTGTGCGCAACTGGTCGCATGAATGTGTGGGAGAGTACGCGAAGGATCGAGGTTCGTGCGCTTTGATGTCCGTTAAAAACCGACAGCTTGGAAAACCGCGAATGCAGCCAAAACTTTGCATAATCATTTGCAAATGTCGTCCCACACTTGTGGGTTTGCGTATTCGTGCGAATGTGAGTGACCGGGATAACACATTCTCAACATAATATACCTACCTACATAATCGAGAGTTTTTACTTACTTACTTACTTACTTACTTATCTTCACGCACAATCCCTGACGGGGTAGCCAGAGAGAACAGATCGCCAAGTGTCACGATCCTTACATACCTCTTTCGCTTCTTTCAGATTCATTATCTTCTTCATACATGCACGTCTAGGTATCCGAGTACTCTTGACCCTACCCTCTTCGAGCAATTTGCTCACATGGTCTTCGAAAGTTAGTCTCGGTCTACCTCGACACCTTTTAATATTAACTTTCGCGCTATATATTTTCTTCACCATTCGGTCTTCACTCATTCGCTCAACGTGCCCAAACCACCGAAGCACGCCCTTATCAATTTTTGTGATAAGGTCATCTTTCAAACCTGCCATATTGCGAATCTCTTCGTTTCGCTTACGGTCGGCCATGGTAACGCCGCACATTTTACGAAGAGATCGCATCTCCACTGCATTCAACTTGCTTTTATGCTTCTTCTGGCATACCCAGGTTTCGCTGCCATATAACAAAGTCGGTACCAACACTGCGTTATGTATTGCAAGGCGTGCACTCTTCACTACGCCTTGCCTTTTGACTAACGCAGTCAGGGCACCATTGACTTTGTTCCCGGCAGCGACATGCCTGTCCACATCTAAATCACATCTTCCATCCCGGCTAAAAGCACTCCCCAAGTATACAATTTCATTTACTTGTTCTAGACATTCCTGATTTACCCATATTTCACACTTCGTTCTCTCTTCGTCCCTTTCAAATACCAGAACCTTAGTTTTATTAGCGTTCAAACGGAGACCTTTAAGAGTTTTTAGATTATTGTATCTCTGTTATGTATTTGCATACGATAAATGTATATTTCTGGAATGGCTCCAGGGCCTTTCTGTCATACAATAACATTCTCAGAAGGGCTAGAACCCAGAGCCGTAAAGCCAATTAATATAAAACTGACATTTTGTTTTAGCTAATGTTGCCATAACATTAAATGGAATTGTTACATAGTACTATGATTGAGATAATGTATTATAGTATGAAGTTCTTTGTGCGAGACTTATTTTCAACCACATCACTTTTATTTTTATTATTACTGATAGTATAGATATTACTAATAATAACTTCCTATAAAAAATATTTGGGGTTTGTGTGTTGTGTTGGTAGTCTTACAAAGTATATACGAAAATAGTATGAATATAGTAAATGGCAGCACTTGAATAGTGTAAAATGATTAAAGTCATTTGATATTCCTAAAAATATATGATTTTTCTGTGGCTTTAATTAAAATACATTTTTATTTGATAAATCATAAAAATATAATTAAACTCATTTTAAATACAAGGTATTTCTAGACGCAATCATTTTTGTCAACAATTTTTCTGCTATTGTTCTTTTTACCCACCAATGATTACCAATGCTACTACAACTACAAACCCAATTTCCTTAAGCTGTTGATGAATCATTAAATATCATCTTACACACATACTTTCCGACTTAGAGCTCCTCCAAACAAGTCTGTTTTCAAATAGACTAGTATCGCGTATCATATACATGACACAATAATTAATATGTATGTACATAATATGTGTGTTTGGGTTTTTAAATTACTCTTTAAGTTTAATGCATAGTGTTGAACCCTTGATTTCAGACCCTAAACAATTTAGTGCTCCTTCCCTTTACACTCTCACTATGTAGAATTATGACTACTATTTTTTTTTTAATAATTATAACTTTTATACAGATTAAAAGAATGAATCATTATGAATATCCTGAGATGTCTAAAAAAATGGGCGACTTTAGTCTTAAAGTGATGCCGGGTGAATTTTCTGACTCTGAGATTTTGGTTTTACTTGGTGAAAATGGAACTGGAAAGACTACATTCATCAGAATGTTAGCAGGCAATTTAGAACCCGATGAAGGTAAGTTTTAACTACAGATATAGATCTAAAGAGATAACGTAAGTACAGCAATCTGTATGAAAACAAGCGTGTCACATTTTTTCTACCTACTATGACGTCACAAGCGCTATTCAGTAGTGATTAGAAAGCTCTTTCCGCTCTAAATCGATTCAAAGACGCCGTGCGCCACCCAAGCTTCGATTCAATCGATTCGAGCACGCTGATGGGCGCCCTCAAATTAACTTTAGTAGAGAGACCGCGCACGGGTGCTTGCATTCTGTCGACGTATTGGGTATTTTGATAAGATTGCCATACTTTCCAGAAGGGTAACCAAATAAAAAAAAAACTTGTTTGAAATGATTCACTTTATATCAAATAAATAAGGCAAGTTATTAAGTGTGACAGTAAATTCGCAATAAAAAAAAATTAAATTTACGAGCTCTTTCTCCTAGACTTAAAAAATCAATCCTGTTTAAAAAGTTAATAAATACCTATAGTAAAAATCAAAGTTCAAAGTGCTACCTGTTAAACAGGGTGAAACATCTTTTACTTGTTATTATACTACGACTTCATTATATTGCTACATCTTTCGATATATCCATAGAGCAACACGGGCCACCGGCGAACCGGAGGGGAGTAGCCATACGCAGGTGTTCCCCTCTGTCAAAGTATAAGTTACGATACGACTTAGGGACCTTCAAGAAAAGAGCCTACTCTTTTTTAAAAGGCCGGCAACGCATCTGCAATTCCTCTGGTTCCCATGGTGTTGCGGTTGTTCATGGGCGGTGGTAGTCACTTACCATCAGGTGAGCCGCATGCTTGTTTGCCCCCTCTCCTATAAAAAAAGAAGTATACGCGGCCCTATGCATACAATAAAAGTAGTTGCAGCCGCACTGCTCACTAGATTAAATCTAGTTGCGCGGCTGAACGTCCTACAAAAATATAAAAGTAATAACTTACATTATCATACAGTCCTACCCCCGTGGTATCGTGCCAAGAACGCTGGCTGCGTTTCCTCGCTGAATAGCTATACATGATATAGCCTTTGAGCGAGGAAAGCACCAGCCCTGTTTATCACCAGCAGCGACGACCAGTCGCGGATAGAGTTCCTTTAGGAACTTCACCGCACGTGGACCCCACAGACCGATAGTCTCTACAGCAAATATCACAAATATGTAGTTATCTTTCGGAAACTCATATTTGCGCCACTTACTTAGTTCATATGCCTCTGATGCCGCCCCGGCTCTAAAAGAGGTACCCCTGAAATGAAGCCACCAAAGTGTCTACGCAAGCAGCATTCCACACTAGGGCTTTACCTCTCTCCTAAGGGACCAATGTCATACCGTCAGGTCTTCTGCCATCGTCTCTAAATATTCCACAAGGCTTTAAAACCGAGGGAACATTTAAGTAATATTTAATCACATTACTTCTTATTACATATATATTTACTTTTTTTTTTAAACTTAATAACGGTCGTGTTGTTTCGGGATTTATTGACCCATGTTGCTCTAAGTTCTATGGATATACCACCTTAAAATTGACAGCCAGCGGGTTTTCGGCTTTTATATTATTTGTTTATAATAGTGATCTGAAGTAGATTTTAAATAGTAAACGTGACGCAATTTGGTGTATCAAATGCATACTCATGTGAATTATTAGTGGAAATGTTGAAACAAGTGCTCAGGTGAAGATATTAACATCAATTTATTGTATCCGTTTTGGCAATGTGATGAATATCAATTATCATCGAATGTCTCCTAAAAGTTGTTATGTAAAATCTACCTAAACCTAAACAAAGTTAAATGTTATGATGTATTCGTATGTATCAGTATAGGCTGTATGAGCATAGATTCCTTTGCCTGTGAGTAATTTAAAAAACAACAAACTAATTGTCATGTTTTGACGTTGATGTTAATAAATCTAAATATCGTGTTAGAAAAGCCTTTCGTCGCTTTTTATTATATTTACGAATTGTGTGCGTTTAATTTAGTTATAATATCTCCTTTTGTCTAGAGTTTGTAATTAGTTATAATAAAAATGTAAATGACGCTTCGATATTTAGGTTATAACTTGATCGTAAATTTAAGTATAATTTAATGGACCTTAAGTCTTGTATAAGACTTAAGCATGGCTAGGACAGAGCTATTCGATTTGTTTTTTCATCCTGTTTTTCAGAAATGCTTAAAACATGCCGAATCTTCTATATCTCATGAAGGTATTGTTTATGTACCTATTATAATAATATACACGTTATGCGGCCTAGTTTAAGAGTAACGTATGAATTTGTTTTGAAAATATGTGTAGTAGCGGCGAAACCATCAATAATCCAATGAAACGTCGAAACCAAGCGATGGAAAGCAGCATTTTCCTCACAACTTTACAGCCTATCAGAAGTCCACTGTCAAACATAGATTGCCTCATAGAAGGGATATTTACTTTGGTTAGCAACTACAGTTTGTTTTTTTTAGTAGGAAGATGCTGCTGCCCATCTCCTGTTTTGTTTGACAATCATGCAACATACAACAAAAAGGCTGTCTATGAGGAAGCCTATGTTGAGCATTGGACTTTTATTAGGCTGTAATGAATGGATGATTTAATTAATGTTACAAACTTTTTGTTATATTATTACTATGTTCCTGTATCAGTTTTCATATTATGAAAAATAAATCTATTGTTTCTTTTTCTACCTACCTTCCTGTTACAACATATTTTAAATGACCAATATAAATTAGTGATTAATATTGTATTTTAAATTTTTACTATACTATGTTTTTTAATATTTTGTTCTAGGTTCTGGCCAATTGCCGCAGCTGCACATTAGTTATAAACCACAAAAAATATCCCCTAAATCCCAGGGCATGGTTAGAAATTTGCTGCATGACAAAATAAGAGATGCATATGTACATCCACAGGTAACATTTTACAGTTTATTATGATTTTGTCTCAGAATTTGGATTTCATGAATTTTTTTGTAATTCTGTGTGTGATCTTTTGAAATGTGGTTGGCAACTGTAGCAAATATCCTTGTTAAGGTAAGCTATGAGAGAGGCCTACATTTAGCAGTGTACTTTTCATAGGCAGTAAAAATATCTTTTCTATAGTTGATAGCTTTGTCGGTGACTTTCAAGAAAAACAGATTATATTTGTACAGCTTTGTTAATTTATATCATTATTATTACAGTTTATAACAGATGTTATGAAGCCAATGAAAATTGAGGAAATTATGGATCAAGAAGTGCAAAACTTGTCTGGTGGTGAATTGCAACGAGTTGCCTTAGTGCTTTGTTTAGGAAAGCCTGCTGATGTGTACCTGATTGATGAGCCGTCTGCTTACCTTGATTCTGAACAGCGTTTAGTTGCTGCTAAAGTTATAAAGCGGTCGGTATTTGTTTTTAGATACTTATGTAAATAGTCCATATTAAAATTTCATAGGGCAAACAAATATTATAATAAAGCTGATGTTAAACATCCTACCCTCAATGTCTGCAACTCATGGACATACTCAGGAATTTAAAGCCATTGTAATATAACGATTTGGTCGATCACAAATCCTTGAAAAGAAACAACTATCTAACTATCAATAATATATGAGACAATTGAAATTAAAATAACATTTCGATTAAAAAAAGGAGATATCTAGTTGCAATCAGCTTGGGGTCAGTGTTTACATTGATTTAAATTAAATCCAAAACCAAGCATATTAATACAAGATTTCAAGATTACTAGTTACAAGTACAAGTTTCTTATCTTAATCATTATTTCGACAGGTTTATTCTGCATGCCAAACGAACAGGATTTGTAGTAGAGCACGATTTCATAATGGCAACATATCTAGCCGACCGAGTCATTGTGTTTGAAGGAACACCATCCTCAAATGCAACGGCTCATGCTCCTCAATCACTGCTCAATGGGATGAATAAATTCTTAGAGCTACTCGGTATCACTTTTAGACGTGATCCTAATAATTTCCGACCTAGGATCAATAAGCATGCTTCTGTCAAGGTAATTTTACATAATAATATGTACTCTCTTGCCTATTTTTGGATAGGACAAAATGAAACTACATATTATTGAATTTAAATTAATATTATACTTAAGTTTTAACATAACATCTTTTAATATACTGAGTTTTTAAATTATAATTATAAAATGCATAGATATGTGCAAAAATATAAAAAATATTAATAATTATTTATTATTATTGTTTTATTTGCAGGATATGGAACAAAAAAGGGCAGGCCAGTATTTCTTCCTGGAAGACTAAATGAATGTTATATTTATATTGGATTTATACTGTTATAACTGTCACAACAAAGATGACCTGCCACCAATGTATTTCCAATTAAATAAATGAATGTATTATGTACTGTAATAAAATCAGTTTTATACAACTACTGTATTTATTTCAGAAATTAATTAGTTAATTTAATACATAGAAATCTATTATTATCTATATATGAATATTCATTATTAACTTTTTAATTAACATCATGAGATCATACTCGCAAAGTATTTATAAATACATAATATATTGTCGTGAAAAATATTTTTTTTTATTTTTCACAAGAATTTGAAACGTAATAACTACATTAAACTGAATCTACATACATAACATAAGATAATTTTGGGAGTTAGTTCGAGGAAGTCGGTGTGAATCATTAGTATAGAGTAAATATTCTTCTCATCTTTGCTGCTAGAATTCTTGACCAGATAGCCAGTCCATGGAGGGATATTTGCCATTGTTGCCATCACTGTGGACAACTGGTTTCAATATCATATATGCACAAAAAACAGGAAATGGAGAAAATTGTGTGTTCCGATTAAACTCATTTTTGACCGTTTGTATGAGGGTTGCCCCTTTGCGGCGTTGGCGACGAAATCAAGAAGTCGCCGCGGTTTTTGAGAAATATTTCACTGATATACCTATTTTGACAACAAAGTCATTGAATACTTCTCCAACTGTCGCCGATTCATTACTGAAACAGAATGTTAGTACCCGTTTAAAAGAATTTAGTTTTGAAAAAGTATTATCACAAGATATTGTAAAATATTTCCAAACCCTTGATGTAAAGAAAACCGCAGATTTATGGGGGATTTCCGTAACAGTTATTACTTCCATAATAGATTTAATTGCAGCTCATCTTGCTATTATTTTTAATGCTAGTATCATAGATTAAGCGATGACTTATCATTAATCTATGACTAGTATCGAATCTGGTGTGTTTCCTGATTTCTGTGACTCTGTTTAAATCTGGTAGTACATTGGACTCCGCTAATTTTAGACCTATTTCTGTACTACCAACTCTCAGTAAAGTATCGGATAAAGATAAGATAAAGATAATTTTAGATCAATTGTTTTTTTTTTTTTTAATATAAATAAATTACTCCAAAAAATCAATTTGGTTTCACAAGGGGTTGCTCAACGACTGACGCAGATGTCGAACTTATGAAAAATATTTTTAATGCCTGTGAGGAGTTCACAAGATGTGTTAGGTATATTTTGTGATCTTTCCAAGGCTTTCGATTGTGTTCATCGTGAGATATTAATCAGGAAAATCGAAGCTATATTTGTTTTGCAAAAGAGAGCCGTACGGGCGATTTATAACTTAAATTGTAATGAGTCCCTTAGAGAAAATTTTAAAGAAATAAACGTATTAACTCTGGCATTGCAATATATTTATGAAAATGCAATGTATGTACCTACATAAAAACATAGATATCTTTGATAAGAATGAAGATGATCATACATTAAACACTAGGAACAAACATTAGCTTGTAATACCAGTTACTAGACTCCACAGACTTAGTAATTCATTTATGTGACAATGTATACGCTTTTACAACAAAATCTTAGAACATGTTCAAAATTTGTCAATAAAGAAGTTTAAAAGTTTTACTAAACAAAACTGCAAAAAGGGTTATTATAAATATCAAGGAATACATGAATTAAAATAACCCCTGAGAATGAGGTGATCGCCACCATGCTGATTCTATGAAAATTCATTTAAAAATTTGTACAAACAAAGTTATTGTAAAGTGAAATATGTTTAAATAAAAAGTCCCGCTGGGTTTCTTGCGGGTTCTTCCCAGGACAGAGATATTTTCCGAACTAGTGGTAAATAAAAAATGACTTTCAATATTTAAGTATTATGTAATAGTCTATATTGAATAAAAATTATTCTATTCTATTCTGTTGTCACGCTTGGCGAGCGGCTTGTCGACTGGGCAGCATTCAGGAAATTACGACACATCTTCTCGTCAGGTACACCTCAAAACCTGAAAACGAAATTGTACAACCAGTGCGTGTTACCAGTGATGACTTATGGATTCGAGACGTGGTGATTCACCGCTGGTGGTCGAAGAACCGACAACCGATCGGGAAGCCTAGTACCGGTAGGCGAAGTGTAGGGTGAAATGACGACCTGGTAAGACATGCAGGAAGTCGATTTGTCGGCTTACGTTCAGCAGTGGGCTTGTGAATGGCTGTAATGATGATGATGATGATAAGCCAGTCTATGGTGTCTTTTTCTTAACAAACCTTTTTTTAATTATAAAAATTGGAATAGTGTGATTTCTTGCCTTTTTCCTAAAGTTAAATAAAATATTATTGAATTAGAAATACTAACCGTAACGTCATCATTTGTTTTGACTGCCTCAATAGTCGTCCCGAGACAGGCCCAAAAATTCTTTATTGACTTATTCTGGCAAGAAATTCTTAGTAATAGCCCACATTCAGGAAGTTGGCGTTGGTGTTTCACCCCTGTGCCAAGCATGCTCATATTGTCGACCTTTCTTCTCCAGTCATGTCGTTTGCTGTCCCATCAGACTATGATGAGGTGTGAATCAGAGTGAGGAAATGTGCCCCTGTGCAAGCACATACACTGGCACTATAATCCTGTTCTGCGCAGATGGCTAGTCTCCGTTGAGACTGGCCGTCGTAACGGAAATTCGGTTGAAGAATATTATTATGGTCCGTCCAACATGTTAGCGTGCATTAGCGTACAACAAGAGCGTGTCTCTAGGGAGCGAATGCGGCTGGTTTTCATAGTTAATTGCAAATACTCTTTGAGTAAATGCCAGTCAGCATTCAGTGATTGGCAAAGCAAAAGCAATAAACGTGGTAGAGCCATGCTGCAGCTATATTAGCAGTATAGTTGTAGCACGAATGGGTCGGCTCGACCGGGGAAGGACCACACTCTCACTGAATACCAGCGTAAAATATCACTTATTAATGCGTATTAGCGTTCCATATGGTGAGTGTAGTCGTCCCATCTCAATCAAACGTAAACTACGTTTTTTTATAGGATAAGGGTGACAAGAGAGCACACAGTCCACCTTATGGTAAGTGTTTGCTGTGGCCCATGGACATCTACCGTTTTCGAATCAAAATGCAGTCAGCCGTGAGGATTAAGATGGAATGCCTCTTCTAGTAAAAAGGGAGAACCTTTTCAAGAATCAAGCCAAGAGATTGTCTTGGCTTGATTCCTATTTTTGTGGAGATCTATGGGGGTGATCGATGTTCAGCAGTGGACTTGTGATGGGCTGTAGTGATAGTGATGGGAAGTATTTGCATAAATTAAAGAAATCATCATCTCAAAAAATGTAAAAAAAAAACTTAAAAGACGCATCATTTTTGTCTTGGATTGACATTAATTTTACACAACCAAAACACGTAATCATGAGTTTCTTATCTTAATCCCCTATCTTAGGGCAATCACGCAGTGTACCTGGTGCCTGTCATGAGCACGATTTCTCCGAGTTAGGTAATTAAATTTACGTGGTAGAGCCATGCTGCAGCTATATTAGTAGTATAGTTGTAGCACGAATGGGTCGGCTCGACCGGGGAAGGACCACGCTCTCACAGAATACCACCGTAAAATAGCAGCTTAACTCTGCTGTGTTTCGCATGGTGAGTGTAGAGATCCGGAGAGCCTTTTTACTGGATAAGAGGCATTCCATCTTAGTCCTCACGAGTGACAACGCAACTGCATTTTGATTCGCAAACGAGGATAGATGTAGATGTCTATGGGCCACAGCAACCACTTACCATCAGGTGTACTGTGTTCTCGTTTGTCACTCGATCCATTAAAAAAAAATAACAAAAATTTTTTTACTGCAGGTGTTCTTTCATTATTCTCTATTTTTAGGTGACTTCAAAAAGGAGGAGGTACTCAATTCGCCTGTATGATTTTTATGTGTGTTACCTCATAACTTTTTCTAGGTGAACCGATTTCAATGATTCTTTTTTTTTTATTTGAAAACTGGTGCTTCTCATATATATTTAATCAAGGTCTGACCAGTAGCTTTTGAGCTATCCTTAATAATTTATATAGAAGTCGTTTATACAAAACTAATTTTACCACTTGTCATTAATGATCTCAGTATTCTGCTCTCCTCTCACTTTCATCTCTACGATGCTGATGAGTTGTATTTGTACCGCCATTCAAGTCAAAGATAAAGAGGAAACTAATAATATGTCAATTGCTAACATAAGTTGCATAATCAGTCGGGCAAAGTCCTTCGGTCGAATTGTTACCCCACCAAAACTCAACTTATAAATATTAGCAGCGTACACGTACATAGGTATACTTAACATAATTAAATAATTAAACCGTTCAAAGTTCTCTTAAGTGATTTCGATAATACTCAGATGCCTTTTACCGATACTGTTAAGAACTTAGAAGTATCATTGATCATATTTATCTTGGGATGCTCATTTTAGATACATTAATAGGAACTACACTTTTCAATCTCTCAAGCGTCTCCAGATGTTTTACCTTTAAAAACTAAAATAACCTTAGCTCAAGCGCTTCTTCTTCCTCTCACTGACAATGCTGATGTTAGTTTACTGAATGCTTCAGAGGAATTGTCAGTCATTTAAAATAGTTTATTATTCGTAGACTTTAAAACTTCCACGTGCTATCATTTCTTCACATTTTACTCTTTTGTTCTCTTGCCTTTCTATATCTCTGTGAGCGTTTTCAGTATCATAAACATCGCGAATCTTAGTGCAGAACTGTCGAACCACTAAATGGCTAGTTATCAAAATCCCTTCTAATTTCTCAATTTGATTTTGGATCCCTTAGTGAAAGGAGCTCACTCCCAGTACCAAATCTCACACGACATACGCGCTGGTCCTTCTCTTGAGATATATTTCGGAAAAGAGTAAAGAAACGTACTTAGTATTATTTTTTATTTTATTTTCATTTATTTATTATGTATTACTCGTAATAATAGATCTATATCACTTATATTCGTTACACGTATGTATTTATATATTATAATATAACGTGATTGCGTTATGAATTACTTATGCTCGACTTTTTACATTTTTTAAATGGTTCTCATCTCAAATTGCGTATAATAAAGAATAAAGAATTACGCATATATTTAAAAATAAAAAGGTAAGTAGAAGTGAGAATCGATAAACTCTTTAAAGGCTTTTACTGCTTCTTCGGAATTATAATTTTTACCCATCGTTCAATACCATCAGCCCAGTAGTAGTCAAGTCTGTACAATACGGTGGATGAAAAAGGGTC